CACTTTTTAGAAACAATTTGGCTATGTTGCTTTTTAAAAAAATAATAATTTTTCCTAAAATTGCAATTTTCTAAACATATCCCATCTGTATAATGCAAATATAGAAATATAGACTTTTATGAGCAAAAATGTTCTTTGTGTGTAATTGATTCAATAGCAACATTAGAGAGCGACATGACTGGCCAGCTACAGGTCAATTGTTTAATAAACAACAGTACGTTCACATAATAAAGTGCTATATACTCATCAAAAGTGTGCATATAATACATGTTTAATGGCGTGAGAAAATACAGGGCTAAGCAGTGAAAGTAAGGTAAAAATTGTATTTACTGCATGGTCAAGTTTAGGTTAAAATAAACATAGCAAAAGGAGGGAAGAAAACAGTCTAAACTACTGAGGGTGAATTCTGGGGGGACGTAAATGACTTTTAGGGGTCATTTTCTAACTTTTCTGAATTTCAGAAATTTACATATAATATTATATGTAAATTTAGGTCAGGTTTAAATATTTAAGATTTTTATTGTGGTAAAGTATTTTAACATAAAATTTACCATTTTAGCAATTTTGAAGTATACAGTTCAGTGGCAGTAAGTACATTCGCACTCTTATATAACTACTACCACCATCCATCTGTAGAACTTTTTCATCTTTCCCATTATCTCCTCTTCCCAGTTTTTGGAAACAACTATACTACTTTTGTCTCTGAGTTTGACTATTTTAGGTATCTAATATAAATAGAATCATACACTGTTTGTCGTTTTGTATCTGGCTTATTTCACTTAGCACTATGTCTTCAAGGTTTACCCATGTTGAGTATGTATCAGAATTTCATTGCTTCTTAAGGCCGCATAATAGTCCACTGTATGATACATGCACCACTGTGTGTTTATCCCTTCATCCACTGACAGACATCTGGGGTGCTTCCACCTTTTTATAATGCTGCATAAACTTTGGGGCACAAATTCCTGTTCAAGTGCCTGCTTTCAGTTTTTGAGGGTATATACCTAGAAAGAGAATTGTTGAATTATGTGGCAATTCTATCTTTAACTTTTTGAGGAACAGCCATAATGTTTTCCACAGAAGGGGCACCATTTTGAAGCAATTCAGGAGGGTCTAATTTGTCCACACACTTAGAATTTTTTACCTATCAAGGTCAATCACTTCATATGGAAATCTTTCTAAAATGTATCACTCAGTTTCCAGCCTTCTTCAAAGGAAATATTAAACAAAAGGTAACTTTCATTTCTTTTAATAATTTGTAAAAATGATGCCCCCTCAGAGCTATTGAAAGATATTTTTACTTGAGATCTTGCTATGTGCTAGATACTATTCTAAGTTGTTTTCAGAGAGTAAATCAATCCCTTCAAAATCCTCGGAAACATCATTCCCATTTCACAGATAAGTAAATGAGATACACGGAAGTAAAGGGATTTTCTAAGATCAGGCAGCTGGTGAGTGAAGGCGCAGAATTCATAGTCCATGCCTTTATAGGTTTTGCTAGACTCCTAATCATCTACGAAAGTTTGTCTCTGTATTAAATATCTCCAAACTAATGCTGTACATTTTTAGAAAATGTGTGTGCTGTTTGATGTTTTATTTTGTTTTCCTTCTGGTATGATTCCTTGCAGTGGTAAAAGCACCTACCTCTGGCCACTCTCTTCTCTCCAACTCACAGATTGATACTGATACTGTCATCAAAAAAAATGGATACAGAAAAGAGTAAAAACTACGTGTAAAATAAAATTACATAGATTTAAGAGAGAATTTGAGAGGTCTATGCAAGGGTAAAAATATATGAATTTACATATTTGAAGTTCATTGTATCTATTTTGGTAGTTTAATAACCTATTTTGCATTTTTCTGGCTGTGTGTGTGTGTGTGTGTGTGTGTGCCCCAACCGCTTAGTCTGCCTTTGTGAATTGAATATGAGTGCTTACTCTGACTCCTACTTACATTGTGTAACATAATATAATTTAGCTTTTTAAAAAAGCTTGCCTCCAAATATAAATATTCCTTCCATGTCTGAAACTCTCTCTTTAAAATGTATCTATTTAATATTTTTATGATACATGCAAAAGAAGAACCAATAAAAAAGGCTTTGATACTGAAAATCTCTGGTTCTACATTAAGATCATATAAACTATAAACCCAATGACTACTGATTACAGATGCCCATCAATACCAGCCTGGAATGTCCTTGCAGAACTTATTGTGTGTCAGATCTATTTCCAGGAAAGAATACACAAGTGTTTCTTGCTCTGTGTAACATATATTGTGAAGTGCTGAGCATTTAACTTTCTGAAAGTCAAACCTTCTTTCCAATGAATTAGGAGAGATCACCAGTTAAATAGATTTAACAATGAGTCCCTGTCTCTGTCAAAACCTTGCACTTAAAGTGAATTATCAGTACATCACCCCATTTCACACCACCATCTATTTTCCTACAAATTGTTTTTCTACATCAATATTTCTTAAAGGGTTCTCTCCCACATCTCTAAGATTTTCCTAGAAACAGGTGAGTAGCAATTGTAAAGTTGAGAGAAAAATGTTCATTCAAAATACAAATTGAAAAGATAAATATCAGTTTCTTTAGAGAAGCTCTAGCAGTCCAGATCCCCTCAGATGTTGTAATGAGTGGAGTAATAAATATATTTTCATACTATTATGTTTAATTTCTATCTAAATACTCCATGCAATTTTATTCAGCAAAATCAGAGTGAGGGAGAGGTTAGGGGGAAGATAAAGGAAACAAAACCACACTCCCAAAAATCTGAACTAGCTGATGGAAATAACGCACTCCCAATTTTGTGACTGGTTAGCAGGTACAGGTGAAAGAAAATAAAGTCGCAGTGTTACCTTACTTCTTTTAAGAATGTGCCCCCAAATCCAAATGTTTGACAATATAGAATGTCCACTGGACTCCAATCATTTAACACTGGCTACTTACCAAAACAGTAATACTGTTAATATCAACAAATACACAAAAATTCTGATAATGACTAAATTACTATTTTTAGGAAATTTTTATATCTCAAGTCTACCATGCTGGCCTTTACAAATGTACTATAACTTTATTTGTTTTTGTCACATAAAGAGGGGACTATTCTTTCTCTATTGACCAACACCCAACTTCTACTAAACAAAAAAACCCTGTGCAAGTTAATATCCCTGGGAGTTGGCCTCTACCGTCCATACTTTGCTTTTCTAAATTCGCACTACTTGCCTCTTCCATTCATAGTATTCTTGCTTTATATTGTCTTAAATTGTTCTGTAATTTTCCATATGTACATTATGTTTAATTGTTCTTAAGTATCACCCATATTAATTAAGACAGATTGATTGTATACGGAGATTTAATTTTTTTAATCAATTAATAATAAATTTGTCCAAAGAAGAAATTATTGGGAGTGGAGCATTTCTCAAGGCTACTATAATCAGGATAGCAAGAGCAATAAATGAGGTGAATTGTGGACAAGGTCCAGAAGCCTGGTTCTTAAGACACTAAACAACCTCCCAAATGAAAAAAGTATATATTATTTAGAAGGATCTAAACTTATTGAAGCTGATATATAATCAACATCCAAAAATCGCAAACTCCTAACTAAAGGACAGTTCATTGTATCTTATGATAGCCACAAAATAGTACAGAAGCATTTAAGGAAACCTCTGAACCTCGAGTAAATGGTGTTTGGGGAAACAAAAATTAGAGGGCTTAACAAGCATAGAATGGAATTGAGAGTAGAGTTGAAAATGTAACAGCTACTATGTTACAGTAGAAATTTAGTAAACGTATTCTATCAAAAGTTTGGACTAGGCTTCAAGGTTTCCAGCTGTCAAAGAATTGAAAGGCAAAAAAAGAATGGGAGGGAGAGAGAAAGGAAGGAAAGAAGGGAGAGAAAGAAGAAAGAATGTAGAAAAAAGATTTTTTTAAATTCTAGAGTTCAAGAAACACTCTGCCAGGTTTGTAACATTTCATTGAAACTGTTGGCAAAACTACAATGGGCTAGAGCTTCAATCAGGCCCCTAGTACATCTGGAGTTTTGTTTTAAGTGACTAAGGTGAAAAACATCAGATTATGGAAAATGGGGAAGGCTTCCAGCAGTTGGCCAGTGTTCTAGGTGATGGATGTGATGGGCAATTCCCTTAAGCAACTGATTTACTGCCAACAGAGAAACCCATTAGAAGAACATCAGAAAACTCATCTGTAATTAGAATCACAAGAGTGTCTGGCGACTCCGCGTCCACCTTCCCCTCCCTTACCAGCGAGGTGACCCTGCTCCTGGCAAATACCTCCACACAAAGGCCACCGAAGAACATCTTCCCCTAATCTCTTTTCCTTTGGCTTTAAAACTCACTATAAAACCGGCTCTACTGTTTTCCAATAGCTTCCTTTCTTCCTCCCTCCCTTCTTTCTTTGTTCCTACCCTTTGTTCCGTCTATCCCTCCTTCCCTTCCTCCCTACTTTTCTTTCTTCCTAAAATCATTGCCTTTTAAAAAAACACACCCAGATCAACCCTACTCTACTAGCAATCCCTCTCAGGCCAGACGGAGTCAGGCACAGGCTGGCCGCCCGTGCTTCACAAGCACCATCTGGCACCTGCGATTCATTGCTTCGTCGTCACTTTTTGTACTCGCAGAGGTGAGAGGGGCGGGAGACAAAGAGCACGCAGAGCTGGTGTGACCCAGTTCCTTTGGAAACTTTCAGCTGGTCGCAACCTCCCCCAACCCTGAACTCTTTAATGATCCTTCAGGCCAGAAAAGTACAGCGACCTCTGCCTAGCCGGTGAGATTGGAAAAGAGCAGAAGCAGGAAAAGCACGACCGGGAGGTTGGCTCCTTCGCCTCCCCACGGCCCAGCCGCAGAGGGCGCAGAGCCGCGGCGCTGCCGCAAGGGGCCGCTGTTCGCTCAGCCCAGCAGCCTCGCCGCGCCCGCACCTCCCACGCCCCCGCCGGCCCAGCGCCGTCAAGTTCTAACAGCCCCCAGTCGGGGGAGCGCCGGGAGCGAGCACCGCCCGGATCGCGGCAGACGGCTCCGACGAGCCAGGCTGCGGCGCGAGTCTGAAAAGCTCCCGGGAAGCTCCCACAGTGCGGAGACTTCGGAGAGGAGAGAGCTGGCAGCCCCCGCGCGCTCCAGTCTGCAAGTGGGAGCTCGGCCCGGCGGCACCTGTTCCTCTCGCCCCTCGACCCGCGCCTCCCCGGAGCCCGCCCGCTCCGGCGATGAATCCCGCGCCGGGGAACCAGACGGACGTGGCCGGCCTGCTCCTGGCCAACAGCAGCGAGGCGCTGGAGCGCGCGGTGCGCTGCTGCACCCAGGCGTCCGTGGTGACCGACGACGGCTTCGCCGAGGGCGGCCCGGACGAGCGCAGCCTGTACATCATGCGCGTGGTGCAGATCGCGGTCATGTGCGTGCTCTCGCTCACCGTGGTCTTCGGCATCTTCTTCCTCGGCTGCAACCTCCTCATTAAGTCCGAGGGCATGATCAACTTCCTGGTGAAGGACCGGAGACCGTCGAAGGAGGTGGAGGCGGTGGTCGTGGGGCCCTACTGACCGGCCCTGCGGCCCCGCGGCGGCCGCGCCCCTCACCAGCGAGACCGGGCGAAGCAAACCTGTCGGAGTCAATGATTTCTCTCGACTTTTGCCTTTCGGGACGAAGCGACCTGTTTCTCCCACGCTCTTCGAAAGTCCCCAGGCCTGGCTACTCTGGACTCCGCTGGAAGTGGCAAGAAGAGGGCGATTAGGGCGCAAACTTTGGAAGCTGCCGCTAGCTGGGGATGCGGGGAACCGACGGGGCGAAGGGCCTTCTCCACCCGCAGGTGGGCAAGCTCTGGGGGTCGGTGGAGAGGGTGGGCGGGGGAAGAGACCCAGAGGCACCGAATGCCCAGGCGGCCTGGAAAGTGATCCGTGTATAAGCCACGTAATAAAACGCGGGGACATAAATCCATGTCCGGATTCGCGCCCATTCTCTCCCTCCCTTCCCAGCCCTGGCGGGAGAGGCGAGAAATATCTTTAATTGATTACGACTTGATGTTTTAAGGGATTTTTGTGTTTGCTTGAATATAAATATTTGATATGTCCTTTTCTGCCCTAGTGGCCTGTTTGCCTGCCTGGAGTTAGAGTTTTGTCAACGTGGGGAAAGGGGTGGGGGAGGGGAAGCCTAAGAATGTGAACTGGGTGAGTTGTGTGGTTTGGGGTTTTTGTTTTGTTTTGTTTTGTTTTTGTTTTGCATTCACAACTGGGCCTTTTGGGAGGGGGCCGGGGCTGGTGCCCCAGCTGGCCCGAGCAAAGACTCTACTAGAACTTGTCTGTAGCTCGTGACTGCACGATTTACGCCACAAAAGTGCTCTTGATATTCGTGAAACAGTTTTGACTTTCCCTCCGCCCCCTTGTTTAACATTTCCTTAATAAATGCAACGTTTAAGTGTTTTGTTCCTGGCCTCCTGGTGGTCATTCTGCACTCCCAGCCGAAGGGGACGGGCGTCGGCGGCAGAGGAGTCCGGTTGCCGGCCCAGGGAATTCGCTTTGGAGAGCTGTGATTCCGGTCGGGGATCCTACGAAGGGGCGGTGTAGGGACCAGACGGTGAGGCCTAGAGGCCAGTGAGACATGGCTCAGCCTTCGGCACAGGAGCCGCCTGCAGAACCCTTTGTTTTATCGTGCAGTTAATATTTTATATTTCATTTAGGCTCAGCTTTCCAGCCAGTCCAGAAAACCCGAGGTCCCAGTGGGAACATCGCGCTTCCCTCCAGGTCTCCGGTGGGAACAAAGGGTTATGCCGCTAATGAAAGGAAGAGACAGCTTGGCCGGCCTTCAGGGAGGGCGTTTGTGCCCTGACCGACGTCAGCAAGACGGCCTCGGGATGCTGCCCCAAAAAATATATACGATAAAATAAAAAAATTAAATTATAATAAATTATTTAAAGGCCAAGAAATGTAGCTGCTAAAAAGTACACAATGACACTAATTCTCCCCCTGGGCAAACCATTGTTGTGACAACGTGGGGTGCATTACTTTTGCCATATTACTTTTTCTAGCAGAAGGGTAAGATTTAAAAAGGGGCCTGCGTGTTCTTGAATTGTCAGGCACAGGCCTGGCAGAAAGGTTCAGAGGAGTTAAACTCTGAATGTCAGGGAGGAAGATTACTACCTAAAATGAGAAGATTGGGCCAGAGTGGAGCTACAGATGGTCGTGGGCACAGTTAGGGCTCAGAGACGGAACAGTGTTGGAAAATAAAGAAAACGGAGAGTGTGAAAATAACCCAAAGGGTACAATGACTTCGAGCTTGAACTTGACAAGAGGTTTTGAACAGTTTGTTTTTATGCCTTGGTTAAGATCCTAAATATTTTCAAGAATATAAAGGATCTTCTGCTATGCTATAGCAGTTAAAGACTTCACAGTAGCAGATACAAGACTAAAAAAAATAAACAATAAAATGTCCCATTTACTTGGGAAGAAGCACAACTTGTGTAAACAAAGCCAGTCACTCAGAGTTGAGATCAAAGCGTTTGAGTACCCTTTAACGTCCTGCCCACTATTGTCTATTTCATTCCCAAAGGAATTAGGAGCTGGCATAATTTTTTGAATGCTAAATAGTGTCAGGCATGAAAAGGATTTTGATAATTTTGTCTATTCCTGTCTTCAGCGGGTGTTTGCTTGTCTTTTGTTTGCTTGTTTTGAATTTGGAGAAGGGAGCTGGGTCAACATGTAGTCAAGGGTGAGTGGCATGGTGGGTGGTTTACTTTGCAGAAAACTTCAGAACAAGAAATGTGGACTTACTGTGTTGTAGACAGTTTTTGTGACACCCAGTTAACCTGCTGCTTCCAGGTTTCTCAGGCAGAAACACAGCAGGACCAGTTGGCTCTGGGGCCAACCAGACATTTAAATTAAACTCAGGGGTTTTTGTGGCTACATTATCTGCTGAGGGTCCCTTTTCCCCCACAAATTTATTAGTTCACCAGTGAATTCAGGGCTGTGTGGAAATCATGGGATCAAAAACCAATCAGCCAGAGTTTGTAGGACTCTTGCTTTGGGCTCTACTATGTGCAACGTACATGCTTATAGCAAGTTTCAGACAAAAAGGTTTCACACCTACAGGTCAATGATTACCTGTTTGTAGAAAACAGGTTTCTGTTTAAAGTCGAAGTCCTGCAAGTTGGGAGAGGGTCTGCCCAAGCTCCCTACTCCTCTCTCATGTATCACCACTATCTCCCTCCTTCCTCTGACCTCCATCCTTGTTCCTCTAAACACTTCTTCACACCTCTTTCCTCTTCTCTGTACCTCAAAAGCAAAATTCAGTTTCTTTCTACCTCAACACACCAGATTAATTCTCCTACCCTGAGAAATCGTGACTGTCAGAACCTGCAACATTTGATCCTTAGAAAAGATATGTGAACAGAGCTCCACAATCTATGATCTATGATCTATGCATTATAGGAAAATGCAGAGTCTGAAAATATCATAGCCCTAGGGACTATTTCCTGCCAACAACTCTTCTCTACAGCCTCTAGATCCATTTGTTAGTTAGAGAGATGCCAAGTGGTTCTGGTTTTTATAGATGAGGCGATGTGTACAAGAAGCTTTTTACACTCCCTGTTCCCTGCGGCCACACAGCAGCTACTTTCTTGGGCCCCACGCCACTCCCTGTCTCACTTTGCCTTTGAGTCTCTTTTTTCCCTGATTCTAACAAATGCTTTAAGTGGAATTTTAAATCCTGCTCAGAGTTTATGGAGCGTCAATCTTTCCCCATAGACGTGTTACAAGGAAAGTGAGTTCTAAAAGTCACTCTCTGGGTTTCGCATAAGAAAACAATGTCAGCTTTAAGAGACTGGGAATTGAGAAGAATACATGCAAACAGGCAGAGTTTTATCATTCCACACATAAGTCGTCCATTTGGTCAGTAATTAGTGGGAAGCCCTGGCAGAGAGAGAGAGATGGCTTCCTGTAAAAGCTTGCTAGATCTGACATGGCCCAGGGGGAGGTATCTGATACTTCCTGAAACCCTTCTGGAAAAACACCAGAAGCAGGGAGAGGTTTCCAGGAGACATAGCAAGTGGATTAGCAGCAAGTCACTGATGCCTCTGACCCTAACTGGGTGGCTTCCACATACGTGGATTAGCTAATTGCTGATAAGTGGTATTTTTCTTAAGATTGGTGTTATGAATCTTCCAACTCTAAAAATGCATCAAGAACTTGAGTGCTGGATACCTTGAAGACTGCTTGAGGGAAGTCAAGCACAAAGGTCTCAGTGCTGTGTTAAGTCTAAGATCACACTTGCTCCTGTGGATGGTCACTGTGCCCAATACCTGATTTCCAAGTCTCCCATTGAATCCTGGGTCAGTCTGGTTACTGTACCTGCCTGCACAAATTCTGAGGGAGGGCGGAAAAGACACACTGGACCATACGGTAAGAACATTTGGTTCTGGACTCTAAGTACCTGAGTGGCCTCCTCCCTAAAGTGAGGAAGATGGACTCTAAAACATCCCAATTCTAAAATTCTACCAAACTACTTGGTTTAACATTTCCTTGTCTCTTAAGGTGTTTTTTAGACCTCTTCAATAGGTAAGTTAAAAATATATTTTATCATTCCAATCTTGGTCCTCCAGGTAAAAATTCCCACCCCTAAAAGTCAAATGCTTCTCTACTCAGGATACATTATTTACAGTCATCAAAGCAAGATTTCAGACACCTAGCCAGGCCCAGGTAAACAGTAGTTGCTAGGCTGACAGATCACACATCATCTCAACAGTGCCTTAACTGTCTTAGATCTCTGTGTTCTCACTGGACGAAGCAATGAAAGTGAAACCCAGTGAACCGGGGAGCAAGCAATCAGCAAGCGATTCCCACAGGTGTACGTACACTCAGTCTAATGTACACTGTTGTTTATAGAAACTTCTTGTGTATTTGAAGACTAAGAAACAGCCAATTTTTCTCCCCTAACGCATTTTCCCCTTTGAGCTTCTGCAACAGCATACAGCAGCTGTTCTGCATGCAGTTTAGAGCCTTCCTTAGCCCTGGCTTATTATACTTGTCAGTTTGGGGAGAGGGGGTTGCAATTCCAGAAAAGGATTTCAGGGTTCAGTTTGTTCTCTAAGACTCAAACCTAATTTGAAAGGCTGTTGAAGCAGCAAGTCTACAGCAGTCTCCCAAACAGGAATCAATAAATCTTTCATCTACCTGCCAAATCCCATTTAGATATGTGTGCACAGTAGCTAAAATGGGGCATGTTAAAATCAGCTCCACTAGTCGTAATTGTTTCCTAATGTCTGAGTTTAAATGCTCAATGGTTAATTGCTCCCATGGCCAACCACACTCTGTCCTTCTTTCCAGATACTTTTGTATTGATTTAAACACTTAATGTGTTTGAAAGTCCAGGATTAATTTTATAGCATCTGCTCAGGTTAAAAAATTTTGGAAAGTGTAGTTTAGGGAAAAAAAGAAAGTAATATTATCAGAAAGTCATAGGTCATTTTATGGTGAAAATAAATGTCTGAATGTATTACTTAACTTGAGAAATTCAAACTATTTCAGAGGTACTTTGCAAGGACTATTGTAAAGATAACTAGATGCATTTAAAAATACTCCTTAGTGAGCTTGCAAACAGTGGTTTACTTTTAACCCAAATAACAATACATACTAAGTGACAATAAAGAAGGCATATTTTCATTTACTTGAATATTCATGTATATGTTGAAGGGGTAATAGGTAAATAGTTTTCTTCTCTAAAGATATGTAACTCCTTGCTTGCTGAAATATTTTTGAGTGGGTAAATGCAGGCACAGAGGGATCAATACATAAAAAGTGAAGCCATCTGTGATAATGCTTAACAAAACTCTGCCCAGCCCCCATTTTAAGACTGGTTTCCATTAGCTAATAATGTTTTCTGAACTCAATTCAAACAGATAGTGCTTGCCAAGTGCCCATGTGTATAAAGTACATTAGAACATGTTACTGAAAAACTGAGATGATTCCTATTCATTTGCACCATAAACACGGGCACAGATAAATACACATAATGAAGACATATGATCTACCTACATGAGTCAAACAAAAAATTGTTCCATAATTTTTACAGCATTCATAGTGATATAAATATACATATATAATTTTGCTCTAGCCTCCATGTTGGCATGGTTTATTACAGGGTTAGTTTCCTTATTATTCTTCTTATTTGCCTTCACCCTCACCATTCCTCTCCCATTAATTACTCCTTCCCTCACCCACATCTACAGATACACTCCCCCGAAAGAGTCATTGATTTTTATCTGACTAAGACTCCAGATGTCTGATTGCTTTGGGAAATGAATTCCTCTGGGACCCAAAATGTCTCTTTTGCCTTATGTATTTTCCTATAAATTGAGCAGGATCATGTAGTTCATATTCTAAATAGTATTGATTGAGGCAGGT